GCATGGTGTGGAGCAGGGCGGCGGGGCGGGCATGGTGTAGAGCAGGGCAGCGGGCGGGCATGGTGTGGAGCAGGCAGCGGGCGGGCATGGTGTGGAGCAGGCAGCGGGCGGGCATGGTGTGGAGCAGGGCAGCGGGGCGGGCATGGTGTGGAGCAGGGCAGTGGGCATGGTGTGGAGCAGGCAGCGGGCGGGCATGGTGTGGAGCAGGCAGCGGGCGGGCATGGTGTGGAGCAGGCAGCGGGCGGGCATGGTGTGGAGCAGGGCGGCGGGCATGGTGTGGTGCAGTAGCTGAGAGCTCACATCTGATCCTCGAGGAGGAGGCAGACAGAGTGGGCCTAGCCTGGGCATTTTGTTTGTTTGCTTATTTTGTTTTGTGAGACAACGTCTCACTCACTGTTTACCCCTGCCTGTCCTGAAACTCGCTTTGGAGACCAGGCTGGCCTCGAACTCACAGAGATCCACCTGCCTCTGCCTCCTGAGTACTGGGATTAAAGGCGTGCGACACCATGCCAGGCTGGCCTGGGCTTTTGAAACCTCAAAGTGCATCTCAGTGATTTACCTCCTCCAAGGCCACACCTCCTAATCCTTCCCAAAGCTGTTCCATTGATTGGGAACCAAGCAAGCACTCAAGGCTACGAGCCTGTGAGGGCCATTCTCCTTCAAACCACCACAGGCCCTGTCTCAAAACCAAAACCCAACACAGAGAGAGAGAGACAGAGAGAGAGAGAGACAGAGAGAGAGACAGAGAGAGAGAGACAGAGACAGACAGAGAGACAGAGACAGAGACAGACAGAGAGACAGAGAGAGAGAAACAGAGACAGAGACAGAGACAGAGAGCACACAGAGGGACAGAGAGATTTTCTTTCTTTCACCGTGTGGGTCCCTGGGACAAGCTCAGGTCCTCGGGCTTGGTGGTGAGTACCTGCACAGACTAAGTCCCTGGTTGGCCCCCTATGTCTTCAGCCTGGGGACAGGCACAGTGTGGAGTCGCTTCCATGTCACATACCCTCATAACAGCTCCTGAGGCTGTTCTTGCCAGTTCCCTCCCAGCACAGTGCCCTCAGGGGACTTCCACCAGGCCTGAGGCATGCCTCTATCACGGCCATCTCCTCTGTCGCTCTCTGGGGCCAACACTTCTGCGGATTAAGATGGAAAATGTCCTCGCAGCTCTCTGCCACTCTCCGGGAAATTCCCCCTGAGACTAGGAGGGGTGGTGCGGGGTGGGAACCTGAGTTTTCTAGAACTGGGAGGGGCAGACGAGCTGGAGGTCTGAGGCAGGAATTGTGGTTACAAGGTGGAGCCCTGGGGTGTGTTGGGGCCAATGAGATCTCCTCCTGCTGAGGGTCTGAGCGCTGTGGGGCTATAAAGACCTGGGTGTCTGCAGGGTCCTGCTGGCGGCCCGGAGCTCACAGGCAAGGTGGGTCTTCACTCCAGCTCTTTAACCCCGAGGGGTGGGGACGCAATGAGGTCTTAGCACAGCAGCGATGCTCCAGAGAAGTGACTGGCTTCCCCTCTGTCCCCTGCTTTTATCTCTTGGGATCTCTGGCCTGTGACTTTGTGTGCACGTGTCTGGGCGGGGGGGTACTCTCAATTTCGCCGTGTCTCTGGGACCCCTCCTCTGCCGGCTGGGCCTAGACCTCGAGCCTGCATCTCTGAGCGTGCTGAAAAGCCTGCCGTGCGTGCGTGACTGGGAACCAGACCCTGAATCTAGGCTTCTCGCTCAAGTACCAGGGAGCGTCGGTGACCAGTGGGCACAGCCTCAGGTCTGAGTCTCGCGATCTTCCCCGCCTGGCTTCAGCACCGCAGAGAGGAGCTCCGTGGGGTGGACCCCGGCTCTGTGGCACAGCCCCTCCCGGGGCCGCGCATGGAGACCCCGGGTGTCAGCCGCGCAGGGGCTCCCCGGCCCCCGAAGCACCTGTGGGGGCAGCCACGGCGCCCCATCCGCATCCAGCGGCGCTTCCACTCGGACCCGGAGCCCAGCGAGCGGCCTGCGCTCGGGAAGTCCCGGCGTTCGTGGCCCGGACGGTAGGTGGTGGGGCGGGGCCTGGCTGAGAAGGCGGGGCATGGGCGGGGCCTGTTCGAGGAGACGACGTCTATCGAGGGGCCTGGCGAGGGGGCGAGACTTACCGGTGGGTATGGGTCGCCTTTTGCAGGAGGACGGGGAGCAGCCTAGCTGCCCACAGAAAGCAGGCGGAGGGGGTGGGTGGGGCCTGCCTGGAGTGGGCGTGGCCGGTGGTGGCGGGTCAAGGTGTCAGTTGGGGAGGGACACTTGGTGAGGGAAGGTGCTGGCCTTTAGGAAGGCAGGGTCGGTGGGGACCGGGAAGAGATGGGGCGGCGCATAAGTGGGCGTTGTCTGCAGAGGGCCGAGGGCTTGAGCAATGAGCGGGTGCAGGGAGGTCGGGTGCGGTGAAATCCTGATCTCTCCAGGGGTGCAGGGGGCGGGGCCTGAGGTTTGTGGGCGGGGTCTGAGGTGAGCGGAGCACAGAGTGTGGAGTGTCAGGGCTCCTCGGCCGGGGCAGGGAAGGGGGGGAGCGGGGACGTGACCTGGAGGTGGCGGAGCCACGTCTGGAGGGCTGTGCGGACCAGGTCTTCTGGGGCTGAGCACCCGGGTGCTGGGCTGGCGGGGTGCAGAGGAGTCGGGGCTGCTCCCGGGGCTACATCGGAGCCTTGGTATGAGGAGTGGCGCCTCGGAGGAAAAGCTGAGGACAGGTGAAGTGGCCTTGGTTTAGTGGATCTGGGCGACTCAGGGTTGCGTCTGTGGCACCTGCAGGTGCCAGCCTGCACAGTGCCCCACCGCAGGGTACAGCCCGCCGCCACTCTTCCGGTCATGTGTGTCTCTGCGGGTCCCCACTCCAGTGTGTCACACGCAGCTGTGTACGGGCTGAGTTTCCTTTTGGGTGGCCATGGGGTGTGTTGGCAGCTGGGTGGGACTGTCCTTGCCAGTCCTCCGCTGGGTTTCAGAGGGGAGGGCTGCTCTGGAGTGTTCGCAGGTGTTCAGGAGGCCTTAACAACCCCCTCCCAGCATCCAGGTGGCCCTTAGGATACTAAGGAAGGGCGGGACCCACAGCTATGGTGCTGGGAAGCAGTTCATCCACGGCCCGCCGCTTGCCCCGGTCCTTGAGGGCCAGAACACAGGTCTGTTCTTGCACTTAAGGACTGGGGAGCCGGGCGGTGGTGGCGCTCGCCTTTAATCCCAGCACTTGGGCCAGAGGCAGGTGCATCTCTGAGTTCGAGGTCAGCCTGGTCTACAGAGAGAGCTCCAGGACAGTCAGGGATACACAGAAACCCTGTTTTGAAAAACAAAACAAAACAAGAATATATTATAAACAAGAAAGGAGAGGAGCTGGGGCTGTGCCTGTGTGGGCACATCACTACCGTGCTCCCAGCCCTCAGTTCCACACACCGGTCCTCCCCGCACCCTGGGGCTGGAGGACCATCATGGCCATCCGCAGCTGCATAGCCAGTTTGAGGCCGGCTTGGGGGTGTGTGAAACCCTGTCTAAGAAGGAAGAAGGAAGGAGTGGGGCTCCCGAGCTCTCTAGAACAGGCACACGGGATAAGAGATGCAGAGACTCCACTGGGGTGAGGCAGTGTCCGTGGAGGACAGTGTGGTGGGGGTGGGGTCTCCAGCTGTGTCTGCAGGGCCAGGCACAGACACCTGGGAGCCACAGGAGTCCTTGGTGGGTCTGAGAAGAAGCCCTGGGACAGAACAAGCTCCCAGGGTGAAGTCCAGCCTAGGGGGTCTAGACCTCATTACTTCCCTCTCTGAGCACGGTTGTACTCATGAACCACCCAGCACCACAGCCTCAAACCCTGCTTCCAGCACCCTGGAGAGCCCCGGGCACAGATGGGTTCCCTCAGCCCAGAGGACCGGGTCTGCATTCCCAGGTGACCCAGTAGGGTCTGCCCCACCCTTTCTAATGACTCATGATTTTCCATTTTCAAGAAAGAACAAACACACTTCCTTTGGGCCTCTCTGGTGGGGGGAGGGGAGATCCCACATGGCTGGGCCGCTAATGTGCTTCACAGAGCCGCGTGGGAGGGGCGGGGCTCACCCCCGGGGAAGTCAAGGCTGGGGGATGGATGCTCTGGTTCCTAGTCTGAGCCTCCTCATCCAAGCAGTGGATGGCACGCATTTATGAAGCACCTACTGTTTACCAGGTGTGGATTGAGACCTACAAAGAGGGGCTCAGGTTGCTTGGGGCGAGTCCTAGGGTGGGAGTCAGGCAGGCCCAGCTGGAAGACGGTCAAGCCGGTTCACGGCCTGGGCGTGGCTGGGAGGGACCTGGCCCTGCCCTGGTCCGACTGCGGGCTGGATCCTGGAACAGTAGGTGGAGAGCCTGGAGCCCAGGCGGCTGGGGACCGGCAGAGGCAGGTTACATAGGTGTGAGTCCAAGCTGAGCTGGACGGAGAGCCATAGCAGGGCCTGGAGGAGGGCGGCTCCGCGCTGCGGCTTTCTGTCTCTGGGCGCTCCCGGAGGTCACACAGCAAGCAGTCCAGGCCAGGATGAGGCCGTCCAGTGTGGCCTAGCCTAGCGGGACTGTGGCCCTGGAAGCTCACGGGGGCCAGACTTTGAATGTCCGGTCCAGGTTTTGTGGCTTCTACTCTGTATTAAAAGCTACTAACAACACGTGACTGCTGGAGCCATTAATAAAACACAGATTTAACTCTGAATGAAGCCGTTATAGTACAGCCATTAATAAAATGTTAATGCTAGGCTGGTGCTGGGACTGCAGAGGGATGGATAATTAACGAATTAAGTGGAGAGGCTCAGACATGGGAGTTCACTGACCTGGGATCCTGTGAACTCACTCTGTCATGCAGCTGTGTGACCTCAGGCAAGTGGACCAACCTCTCTGTTCCTGCTAGCGTTTTCTTGCACTAGACAGATCTCATGGTTGTCTTCACTTTCTATTTTCCATGATTTCGAGGGTGGAACTAAATACCCCTGGGACCACAGTGATTTTCCCTCAGGCCTGGAGTGCTGTCAGGACTCCTGGACCCTGGCTGGACCTCTGCTCCCTGGGGAATGGCTATAGTTAGCTGCGGCCCAGCAGCCACAGATGGTATTTTCATCTCGGGCTCAGCGAAGTCTGTTCCAGCAGGTGTGAGATTGGGTTGGAGGGGCTTCCTGGCCGGTCCGAGCCTCCCCACCGTCTGCACAGAGGACGTAACCCCACCACAGCTGCACCGTCACTCAGGTCCCCACTGAAGCTCCACAGCCACGGATCCCCAGGGCGACTGGAGACCTGGTGTCGCCCTCCTGGGGACATGCAGGGAGGAGCTGGGCTGCAGGGGTGTGTGCTGTCTCCCCCCACCCCCCCCCCTGTACCGCCTCAGCCTGTCCAGTGGGCATTCTGGGTCTTTCCTTTTGCCTGTGACCTGTGAGCCTCAGTTTCCACTTTTGTCAAGTGTGACTAGATCCTTTGACTCCTGGAGACCTCACAGACCCTATCTCCCAAGCCGTGGGGCCCCGCTGGCGGGGTGGGGACAGCTGGAGCAGCCCAGCGGGAGGCTTTTGCAGGCCGGTGTTTGTGGGGGAGACGCAGCCTGGCTGTTGGAACGGTCCAGATGCAGGGCCTGGGGAATGTCAGCGCATGGGGTCATGCGGGGGACCTGGGGGCTGGAGCTGGGCTGCAGCGCGGCGCCCGAGCCCCGTGCCTTGCGTGGAGCCTCGGTTTCCCCTACCTGGCAAGGGTTTGTCGTCGCTGGCCCGATCTCGGTAGCGTCCTCACTGAGAGCGGATCGGAATCACCGTGGGCTGCCCCCACCTCAGGGACTCCTCTCCCTGTGGGGGACATCCATCCTTCCCCGACTCCCACATGCCTTTTTGTTTGGTTAGTTTTGGTTTTTTGAGACAGGGTTTTTCTCTATAGTTTTGGAGCCTCTCTGGATCTCGCTCTGTAGACCAGGCTGGCCTCGAACTCACAGAGATCCGCCTGGCTCTGCCTCCCGAGTGCTGGGACTAAAGGCGTGCGCCACCACCGCCCAGCCCACATGCCTCTTCTTGAGGGCACTTTGAAGTCGGGGTGTCCTTGGATTCCGCAGGTGCCCCAGAGATGGAATGGCAGGTGTGACCGAGGCAGTTCTCAGCCCAGACACCGGCACCAACCCTTAACCAGGGCTCGGGGCAAACATCTATCTTTCCAGCACTTGGGAGGCTGAAGCAGGAGGATTACCATGAGTTTGCAGTCAGCCTGGGCTACCTGAGGCCGTCTTAAAAGTAAATCAGCAAATAAATATATAATTAGAAATAGAGTTAGAGAACAGAGCGGTAGGTGTGCGGTGCCTCAGTTTCCCCCAGGCGCCAGGGCGGGAGAAGCCTAGCGATGGGCGGAGCCTGGCCCTCCTCTCCGACCTCGGCTCCGCCCCGGGGCGTCTAAAAGGCCCCGATTCGCGATCCGGCCTCAGCCCAGCCATGCAGGGCCCCGCGGCGCCCGGCTCCCCTCGGGGGTCCCCGCGCGGCTCCCCCGCGCTCTTCAGGAAGCGGCTGGTGAACAGGGCCTCCGCCTGCAGCGCCGCTTCACCGTGGCCCATCCGCTTTGGTGAGGCGAGCGGGGCCGGGCCAGGGAGCTGGGGGCGGGCGGGGGGCGGGCGGGGCCCCGTGCGCGGTGCAGCTCTGCGCGTCCCGTCCTGACCCGGCCAACCCAGGGCGCGCGCGGGCGGTGTGTGGTGGGCGCCCGACGGGGCTGTGCGGTCGGATGGGGCTTTCGGGGTTCGGAATCCCCGGCCTGCGCTTGGTGACCTCGTGGGCTGGGCCTTGACGCGGTCAGGGGGCCTTGTGGGCGCACTGTGGCGGGCCGCGGGCAGCACCGGAGACGGCCGGTCCTGCTCCGGACGGAGTGCCCCACCTGGAACCCAAGAGCGAGCCTGAAGACGACGGCAGGTCCTCAGCAGGTTGGACCTGGACGCGGAGTCCGAGTCCCTCTGTGGGCTCGGTGCCTCAGTTTACCCCGTCTGGCCCGCGCCGTTCCCACAGCCGGAACGCGGACCTCGCCCGCTGCTGTTCGCGTCATGGAACGGCCGCCTGACCCCGGCTAAGTTTAGAGCAGAGAGGAAAAGCAGCTTCCTGGACCCTCCGCGCCGAGGGCGGAATTCGAACCCAGCACCCTGCAGTTGCCCCCGCCTCAGTATTTCAGTCGTCTCAAGGGGCACGGCAAGGGGACCGCCACCCGCAGGCACTGGCATGGCGAGGTTTGGGGGTTCACGGGAACCCCCGGCGCCCCGGGGCCTGAGCACAGACGGCACGACGCCTGTCTGTAAGGTTGCCCGCAACCGGGCTGAGGCACGCACGAGCACGGCCGTCTGCCCCAGGGCCCGGACCCGGGCGCACGGTCACGGGACCGCGTCTCCTCCCTTTAGAAGTGTGTCTGCTCGCCGGGCTGGTGGTGGCGCACGCCTTTAATCCCAGCACTCGGGAGGCAGAGCCAGGCGGATCTCTGTGAGTTCGAGGGCCAGCCTGGGCTACCAAGTGAGTCCCAGGAAAGGCGCAAAGCTACACAGAGAAACCCTGTCTCGAAAAACCAAAAAAAAAAAAAAAAAAGAAAAAAAGAAAAGAAGCGTGTCTGCTCTGGGTGTGAGTGTTTCGGCTGCGCGTGTGCGAGCACGCGTGCGTGGGCCCCGGGGAGTGGAGTCACAGTTGCGCGCCCCTCGTGGGGGAGCGCACCCCAGTCCTGGGAGGAGCGGCCGGTGTTCTCAGCGGCGGAGCCGCGCCCCGAACCCTTACACGGACGCTGGCCGCGGTCAGCGCGGGGGCTCGCAGGAGCCGGCGCCGTGGGGGGCGGCGCCTGGGGGCGGGCTTTGTGTGGGGGGCGGGGCTTTGTGTGGGCGGGGCCTCGGGGTCGGACGCGGCTTTGTGTGGGGGCGGGGGCCTAGTGGGGCAGGCCCTCAGACTGGGGCTTTGTGGGGGGCGGGGGCTTTGTGGGGGCGGGGCCCCCTCGTGGGCGAGGCTTGTGGGGGGCGGGCCCTCATGGGCGAGGCTGTGTGGGGCGGGGCCTCGTGGGCGAGGCTTGTGGGGGCGGGGCCTCGTGGGCGAGGCTCTGTGTGGGGGGCGGGGCCTCGTGGGCGAGGCTCTGTGTGGGGCGGGGGCCTCGGACCGGGGCTTTGTGTGGGGCGGGCCCTTGTGGGCGGGGGCTTTGTGTGGGGCGGGGCCAGTCGTCCGGCTGTGCCAGGCCCCGCGGCGGTGGCCCGCTGTCACTGCAGACGCACCGGTGCCTCTGCCCCCTGACGCTGCTCGCCCCTCTGGTCCTGGCCCTCAGCTTTGACCTGGAGAATGGGTTCGCCGGGCGGCAGGGGCCCCCTGGACCCGCAGTCCGGCCGCGCCCTGCATCCCCCGGGCCCGCACGGCCAGCGGCGCGAGTCCTTCCTGTACCGCTCGGGCACAGCGACCACGAGCCGTCGCCCGTGTCCCGGACCTCCTCGGTGGCCAGCGAACTGTGAGCCCTTCCTCCTCTTCCGGAGCCGTAGCAAGCCCATGGTGCTGGGGACAGGTGGCCAATCAGTGAGCAGGAAGCCCGTCCTTTCGTCTGAGCTCCCCAGTGGCTGTGGTGAAAAGGGAAACAATTGCTTCTGTCCTGACTCAAGACCCCGCTGTCCCTTAGGACTCAGTTTCCCATTTAGACGAGGGAGGGCTCCCTGAGGCGGGCAGACGCCCTCAGTGGTGGCCTCCCCCGCAGACATGGAGAAGACCTGATCGTCACGCCCTTCGCCCAGGTGGGTGCCCCGCCGCCCGGACGCGGACGCGGAGGGAGCGGCCCCCGGTGACCGCTCCGGGCATCTCCCCGCAGGTCCTGGCCAGCCTCAGGGCCGTCCGCGGCAGCGTGGCCGCCCTCGCCCACGGCAGCGCCGCCAGGTACGGGAGGGAGGGCGGGCGGGGCGGGGAGGGGGAGGGCGGGCGGCCGGGGCGGGGGTCGGGCCGGGGCGGGGCGGGGAGGGCGGGGGAGGGCGGGGCGGGGCCGGGGAGGGCGGGGGAGGGGAGGGGCGGGCGGGCCCGGGGGCGGGGGGCGGGCCGGGGCGGGGCGGGGAGGGCGGGGCGGGGGGTCGGGGCGGGGCGGGGGGTCGGGCCGGGGAGGGCGGCCGGGCGGGGGCGGGGCGGGGTCGGTCCCCGCTGACGCCCCGCGCCCGCACGCGGCCGCTCCCTGGGGACCCCTCGGCGCAGCAGCCGGCCCGCCCGCACAGGTACGCGCCCCTGCCCGCCCCCCGCCGGCCCCCCCCTGACCCGCCCCCCTGCAGAGGTCACGGGGCGCAGCAGCTGGCGCAGGAGACACTGGAGGAGCTGGAGACTCTGCACGCTCGGCGCTCGGCGGGCGAGATGGCGTCCAACAAGGCGAGGACCCCGCTCCCCGCTCCCCTCCCTCCCCGCTCCCCCTCCTGCCCGCTTCCCCTCCTGCCCCGCTTCCCCTCCTGCCCGCTCCCCTCCTGCCCGCTCCCCCTCCTCCCCCTCCTCCCCGCCTCCCCGCTCCCCCCTCCTCGCCCGCTCCCCTCCTCCCCGCTCCCCTCCTCCCCGCTCCCCCCTCCTCCCCCGCTCCCCTCCTGCCCGCTCCCCTCCTCCCCGCTCTCCCTCCTCACCCTCCTCCCCGTCCTCACCCTCCTCCCCCGCTCCCCTCCTCCCCGCTCACCCTCCTCCCCGCCTCACCCTCCTCCCCGCCACCTCCTCCCCGCTCCCTCCACCCGATCCCTCCTCCCCCGCTCCCCTCCTCCCCCCTCCCTCCCCCTCCTCCCCGCTCTCCCTCCTCCCCCTCCTCCCCGCTCCCCCTCCTCCCCCTCCTCCCCTCCTCCCCCTCCTCCCCGCTCCCCTCCTCCCCCTCCTCCCCGCTCTCCCTCCTCCCCCCTCCTCCCCGCTCCCCCTCCTCCCCGCTCCCCTCCTCCCCGCTCTCCCTCCTCCCCCTCCTCCCCGCTCCCCCTCCTCCCCGCTCCCCTCCTCCCCGCTCCCCCTCCTCCCCGCTCCCCTCCTGCCGCTCCCCTCCTCCCCGCTCTCCCTCCTCACCGCTCCCCCTCCTCCCCCTCCTCCCCGCTCCCCTCCTCCCCGCTCCCCTCCTCCCCGCTCCCCGCCTCCTCCCCGCTCTCCCTCCTCACCCTCCTCCCCGCTCCCCCTCCTCCCCGCCCTCCCCCTCCTCCCCGCTCTCCCTCCTCACCCTCCTCCCCGCTCACCCTCCTCCCCCGCTCCCCCTCCTCCCCGCTCTCCCTCCTCCCCCTCCTCCCCGCATCTCCCTCCTCACCCTCCTCCCCGCTCCCCCTCCTCCCCGCTCTCCCTCCTCCCCCTCCTCCCCGCTCCCCCCTCCTCCCCGCCCCACAGTTCAAGCGCATGCTCAACCGCGAGCTGACCCATCTGTCGGAAACGGGCCGCTCGGGGAACCAGGTGTCCGAGGACATCGCGCAGACCTTCCTGGGTGAGCGGCTGGCGACCTCCGCGGTGGTGGGAGGACAGGCCCGCGTGGGGGAGTCGGGGTCCCCCCGGCCCTGCTGGCCGGGCCCCCGGGAGGGGAACCGCGGGCCGGGGTGCGCAGGCTCCCGCGGGTGGGCTGCAGTGCGAGCCCCGCCCCGCAGACCAGCCGGCCGAGGTGGAGCTGCCCCCGCCGCCCACGGAGGAGCACCCCGCGTCCCGGGCCAGCGCGCGCCCCCGCCAGCCTGCCCGCCGGCGCCGTGCCCCGCTTCGGGGTCCACACAGACCAGGAGGGGCAGCTGGCCAAGGTGGGTCTCCCCGAGCGGCGGGCCTCAGCAGCGGCGGGCCTCAGTTTTCCCTCGCGGCGCCGGCGGCCGCTGACGCTGGCTGCTCGCTTGCAGGAACTTGAAGGACAAGTGGGGCCTGGACGTGTTCCGAGTGGCCGCGCTGAGCGGGAGCCGGCCGCTCACAGCCGTGGTCTTCAGCGTCCTCCAGGTGCCTCCCCCTCCTCCCCGCGGTCGCGTCCCCTGAAACCGGGGTACAGACCGTTGCGAGCTGCCCGGTGGGTGCCGGGAACCGAACCCAGGCCCTCGGGCCGGGCAGTCAGGGCTCGTGGCCGCCGGCATCTCCCCAGCCCTCAAGGCCCAGCGCCTGTGCCCTTGAGAGGCCCGGATTGGGACAGCGGGTCCCCAACGGGGAGGCCACGGCACCGGGGCGTCCGGGGAGGGCCCTGGCGGACGGACAGGAGCTGGGTGAGGCGAGCTGGAGCAGAGCCGAGGCCTGAGCCGGGTCTGTGGCACGCCAGGAGCGCGCCCTGCTCCAGACGTTCCGGATCCCCGCGGACGCGCTGCGGGCGTACCTGCTGACGCTGGAGGGTCACTACCGCGCCGACGTGGCGTACCACAACAGTGTGCACGCCGCGGACGTGGTGCAGTCTGCGCATGTGCTGCTGGGCGCCCCCGCCCTGCAGGTGCCACGCCCAGCCGAGGGCCGTGGGCGGGCGCGGGGTGGAGTGGGCAGCCCGGGCCTGACGCGCAGGGCCCACCCAGGCCGTGTTCACAGACCTGGAAGTCTTGGCCGCTGTCTTTGCGTGCGCTATCCACGACGTGGACCACCCGGGGGTCTCCAATCAGTTTCTCATCAACACCCGTGAGTGAGGGGACCCTAGACCGCTGCCGGCGTGTCTCGAATCACCCTAGCGCGCAGACTCAGAGGCGCGCCCGGGGCGTGGATGCTTTCTGCATGAAGGGGCCTTAGAGCTTGGGCTTCGACGCATAGGTAGGAGTTGGCCAGTGACGCCCCCCTGCCCAGCTGTCTTTGGGAGGAGTGGGGTCGAGGCCCCGGCTGTCCCCACAGACTCGGAGCTGGCGCTGATGTACAATGACCTGTCGGTGTTGGAGAACCATCACCTCGCGGTGGGCTTCAAGCTCCTGCAGGCAGAAAACTGCGACTTCCTCCGGAACCTCAGCGCCAAGCAGAGACTGAGTCTGCGCAGGATGGTCATCGACATGGTGATGTCACGGCGGCGGGGCGGGGCCCCTTCACCCTGGCGGACGACCCTGCTGGCGGGGGGCCGGGTTCGGGCTCTCCTCTATTGGGCGCCCGTCGTGTACTTAGCCCGGGCCCTTTGGCTTTCCTCGGTTGTTATGTGTACTTGGGAACTCGCCGTCCCCTGCCTCCACGTCCGCGCCCCCAGGCGGGCGGCTCCAGCTGGCAGCTGTGCCAGGGCGAGGGGGCCCCCGGGCCCGATGGCTCCGGGGCGAGGTGTCCCCGGGCGGGGCGACACCCCCGCGTGCGTCCGTGGGCACACCCGGGTGGCCCCGGAGTGTCCGAGCTCCGGATTGGATCCTGCCTCGGCCCTAGCCTGCCTTGGCTCCCTGTGCTCGGCTGTGCCCCGGGCTTTGCCCTTTAGCCCTCCCTCCTCACGCTGGGGACACTGAGGCACAGGAGGTCTCAGAGTGCAGCATCCGCGACTCCGTGCCGCCCCAGGTGCTGGCCACAGACATGTCTAAACACATGAGCCTCCTGGCCGATCTCAAGACCATGGTGGAGACGAAGAGGGTGACCAGCCTCGGGGTCCTGCTGCTCGACAATTACTCTGACCGCATCCAGGTGCGCCGGCGGGCCCGGAGCCTCAGTTTCCCCACCTGGAGGATGAGGGGGCCCTGGGCACTGAGCTTTTTGGGGGTGTGGTGAGGTGTGGCCGGGCCCTCCTGAGGCCGCACCCCGCCCCGCAGGTCCTACAGAGCCTGGTGCACTGCGCTGACCTCAGCAACCCCACCAAGCCGCTGCCGCTCTACACCCGCCAGTGGACCGACCGCGTCATGGCCGAGTTCTTCCAGCAGGGTGACCGCGAGCGGGCGCTGGGCCTGGATATCAGCCCCATGTGTGACAAGCACACGGCCTCGGTGGAGAAATCCCAGGTGTGTGCCGGGGCCGCGCCCTGCTGGGCGTGGGAGGTGGGGACCCGTGTGACCCCGTGACTGCCCCTGCCGGGATGCCCCGGAACTCACTCTGTAGCCCAGGCTGGCCTCGAACTCACAGAGATCCGCCTGCCTCCGCCTCCCGAGTGCTGGGATAAGGGGTGCGCCACCACCGCCCTGCTAGTGCAGGTTCTTGATTTGTTGTTTTGAAGACGTCTCATTTTGTCTGAGGTCTGGTATAGAACTCACTGGCTTGAGATCAGCCTGCTTCCGTTTCCTGAATGTTGGACCAGGATGAGTTCTTTCAAGAGGGTTTTGAAGGTTGAATAGGAGTTGAGAAATGAGCATTCCAGGCGTAGGACACCATGCAGGTGACCTTGAGATTGGGCTGATTCTAGGCTTCACTGTGACTTACTTGCCCCTTCTGCGGTCACCCTAAGGTGGGATTCATTGACTACATCGCCCACCCACTGTGGGAAACGTGGGCCGACCTGGTGCACCCCGACGCTCAGGAGCTGCTGGATACCTTGGAAGACAACCGGGAGTGGTATCGGAGCAGAATACCCTGCAGCCCCACCCACACCGCGGCCCGCGAGCGCCCAGGCCCTGGCAGCTTCCAGTTCGACCTAACCCTGGAGGAGGCAGAGGAGAAGGAGGAGGACGGACAATGAAGGACAGGCTGGGCACTGGACATCCGGTCCTCAGAGTCACCCGGCGCCTGTCCGCCAGCACCAGCCCAGAGTGCAAGGGCTGCCTTACCCAACGACAAGATTTTGGGCCAGCCTCGCATGGACCGTGAAGTCACCGTCAGGCTCTGGGCACCTGGGCGCTGGTGACGCCTGGAGATTCCCGTGGTACCAGCTTCCCTTCCCACCCGTCAAGGTGGGCAGCCGAGGTTTACGCGTAGACAAGGCTTGGGAGCCTTGGAAGCCTGCGGCCGGGGTCCGCTCTGACCACAGCTTGGCTGGAAAGGCGGCTCCGCTCCTGCCCGCTCCCGGGCTGGGGCTCTCCGCCTTTCCTTCGTTCGTTCGGATTCTTTTCGATGGAAGATGGAAGCCCGGTTCCCACGCCCTGTGAGCAGAGATGTCCTGCCTTCAACCGTCCAGCCACAGACCTTTGCTGAGTCCCCAGGGAGAATCCCTTTTGTAAATAGAGGCAGGGACCCCCCCCCAGGTCTAGTGTCTCCTGACACCAGAGGCTGCAGGTGACCCTCCTAGAAGGCCCCACACGCCTCTGTCTCCCTGCCACCTGCTCACACGTTCACTAAACACGGCTGGCGGGACCCATGCAGAGTCTCCCTGTAGTAACCTGGAGATGCAGTGCCAGTCAGTCCTGCAGTACGGCTTCATGGATGAGATCAAACCAGTGTGTCGGGCCTCAGCAAACTCAGCTGTGGGCCCCCAGACTCAGGAGGAGGAGGGGGTGAGGGGCTATGCAGGCACCAGAGAGGCTGGGGCGTGGCTCAGGGGTGGAGCCCCCGCCTAGAATCCCCCAGTGAGGGGCTGGGGGTGTGGCTCAGGGGTGGAGCCCCGCCTAGAATCCCCAGTGAGGGGGCTGGGGGCGTGGCTCAGGGGTGGAGCCCCCGCCTAGAATCCCCCAGTGAGGGGCTGGGGGCGTGGCTCAGGGGTGGAGCCCTTGTCTAGAATCCCCAGTGAGGGGCTGGGGGCGTGGCTCAGGGTGGAGCCCCGCCTAGAATCCCCAGTGAGGGGCTGGGGGCGTGGTCAGGGTGGAGCCCCGCCTAGAATCCCCAGTGAGGGGCTGGGGGCGTGGCTCAGGGGTGGAGCCCTGCCTAGAATCCCCAGTGAGGGGCTGGGGGCGTGGCTCAGGGGTGGAGCTCCGCCTAGAATCCCCCAGTGAGGGGCTGGGGGCGTGGCTCAGGGGTGGAGCCCCGCCTAGAATCCCCAGTGAGGGGCTGGGGGCGTGGTCAGGGTGGAGCCCCGCCTAGAATCCCCCAGTGAGGGGCTGGGGGCGTGGCTCAGGGGTGGAGCCCCGCCTAGAATCCCCAGTGAGGGGCTGGGGGCGTGGCTCAGGGTGGAGCCCTGCCTAGAATCCCCCAGTGAAGGGCTGGGGGCGTGGTCAGGGTGGAGCCCCGCCTAGAATCCCCAGTGAGGGGCTGGGGGCGTGGCTCAGGGTGGAGCCCTGCCTAGAATCCCCCAGTGAAGGGCTGGGGGCGTGGTCAGGGTGGAGCCCCGCCTAGAATCCCCAGTGAGGGGCTGGGGGCGTGGTCAGGGTGGAGCCCCGCCTAGGATCCTCAGTGAGGGGCTGGGGGCGTGGCTCAGGGGTGGAGCCCTGCCTAGAATCCCCCAGTGAGAGGCTGGGGGCGTGGCTCAGGGGTGGAGCCCCGCCTAGAATCCCCAGTGAGGGGCTGGGGGCGTGGCTCAGGGGTGGAGCCCCGCCTAGAATCCCCAGTGAGGGGCTGGGGGCGTGGCTCAGGGGTGGAGCCCCGCCTAGAATCCCCAGTGTGGGGCTGGGGGGCGTGGCTCAGGGGTGGAGCTTTAGCATGTGGGAAGTCCTTAATTCCTTTTCCAGCACTGCAAAAATAGAATAGACCTTGTCAGGCCCATCATTCACTTGTGGGGAAACTGTGGCACAAGCCGTCCCTCGTGCCTTCTGAAAACTTCCACGCAGACAGTGGGCCCTGGGTTCTGGTGACCTCTGATACCAGATGACTGATCCCCTGTCCATCATTATCTTCTGGCTTTTTGAGACAAGTTCTGTTGCCTGTCACTGTGCAGCAGAGGGTCACACAGGACTGATTTCCTCGCCCCCACCTCCCAAGTGCTTGGCTGTGGTGACAGGCACGCGTCATAAGGCCTTTCCCCTCCCCTTTCCTGTTCCCTCTGGGTCTGTAACTCAGCAGAGCAGCGCAGGGTGGCAGGCGACTTCCTCTTTAAATATTATGGTTCCAGATATTTGTTCCCGGGAGGCACAAAAGCCGTCTGGGGTCACGCATGGAATGTTCCTTCTTCCTTCCAGATGTTTTAGGGACAACCTTAGAGATTTCCTGTTAAAAAAAGTAATATGTGCTCACTGCGGGAGAATTTGGAAGTCACACAAAAGTATAAAGAAAATAAACTACTGGGCCAGCAAGATGGCTCAGCAAGCCAAGGCGCTTGCCCCAAGCTTGACGACATGAGTTCACTCCCTGGGACTCTTGGAAGGAGAGAACCGACTCCCACGGGCTGTCCTCTGACCCCATCTCTCACACAAATAAATGAATATAACTTAAAAAATGTGACAGGCTGGGCAGTGGGGTGCACGTCTTTAATCCCAGCACCCTGGAGGCAGAGGCAGCAGAGCGAGTTCCAGGACAGCCAGGGCTACACAGAGAAACCCTGTCTCAAAAACAAAAAAGATGTGACAAATGCTCGTGCTGTTTCCCTCTGCCTGTCCTTTCATCCTCCCAGGCTTTACACACACGCACACACGCACACACGCACACACACACGCACACACACACGCACACACACACGCACACGCACACACGCACACTTAGTTTCTGAGACGGGGTCTCTGCGGAGTCCTGGCTGTCCTGGAGCTCACAACGTAACCTCCACCTCAGAGATCTGCCTCCCAAGCGCTGCTGGGGTTTAAGGTTTCTGCCACCATGCCTGCCTGTGTTGAATATATTTATATTCTGAGACAGTCTCACTCAGTGGTCCAGGGTGATGAACTCACGGTCCTCAGCCTACCAAGTGCGCAGATGGCGAACCGTGTCGCCTTCCCTCCGACTGAGCGACACCCGCTACTCGCCTCAGCCCCTATTTTTATTTTGAAATAAAAAGGCACCGGAGGCGGCCCACGGCTCCTCCCCAGAGTTTATCCCTTGGGAATAAATCCAAGCCGGGCTAGGGGCGCCTCAGGCTCCTTCCTGCACCCCTCTGTCCTCAGACGCGTTCCCGGTCCCCACCCTAGCCTCCGCGTGGGCGGGGCGCTCGCGACCGAACGCATTGATGGTCACTTCGTGTCTGTGGCTCTGCGTTCCCCTGCTCCCTGGTGCGGGTGGGGGAGCAGATAAACAAGCTTCCCGTGGCCCCGGAGCGGGCGCAGCATCGCAGGCTCCCCGCGGGGGCGGCCGAGCATCCAGGCGACAAGTTATTCTGGTCCCTCGGCGCCTCCGCAACCGGCGGTGTGGTCTATAAACGGGGCCAGTTCTGCCTCCTTGCGGGACGGAGGCCCAACGCGGAGGGACAGGTCACCCAGGCTGGGTCCGCTGCTTCTCCGCCCCAGATCCCACCTTGGCGGGAAGATGTGCAGGAGTGCGTTGTGTTAGATCAGAGTCCGGAAGTCTGCATTTCTGCGCACAGCTTCCGGGGACACAGGGTCGCCTGGGCCCCAGTGTCCACACCGTGAAGGGCGTGGGGCGGCCTCTCTGAACTGCCTTTGCTTCCTGGGTCTTTCATTGCAATTTTGGGACTCAGTGGTCAGGACTCAGTTTCTGAGCCCTAAATGCACAGAGAAGCCGGGGCACGCATCAGTCCCTTTTTTCTTTGCGCAGACCCACTCTTCCTTTGAGACAGGGTTTTATGTAGCCCAGGCTGGCCTCAAGACACTATGTAGCTGAGGATGACCTTGGAAATCTGTTCCTCCTGCCTCTGTCTTCCCAGTGTGAGACAACAGGCGGACACCACTCTGTCATGCTGCGCTAGGTCTCGAACCCAGGGCTTTATGCAGTTATGCAGGCTCCTCACCAAACTGAGAAAGATCCTAGGCCCATTAGAAAGACCTACGCCGGGCGGTGGCGGCACACACCTTTAATCCCAGCAAGCGGGAGGCAGAGGAGGCCAGCCTGGTCTACAGAGAGAGTTCCACAACAGCCAGAGCTACAGAGAGACCCTGTCTTGAAAATCCAGAGAGAGAGAGGGATTTTTTACGTGTATGGGTGTTTGGCTTGCATGTATGTGTGTGCACATATGCACACCTGAAACCGTCTCTCCAGCCCCCTCAGCCCTGTCTTTTTTTAAAATTTTTTTAATCTACAGAGGATCTTGTGTAGCCCAGGTTGGCCTGGAACTCATTATAACCGAGGATGACTGTAAATTCCTAATTCTCACTTCTGGACCTGCCAAGCAGGCATGTGACGGGAATCGCCACCAGCCCTTGTTTGGCGGCTTCCCTCTTGACCGCTATTCTTTATTACAACTGCGACCCTGAGGATGGGGGGGCCTCCAATGCAGAGGGCTCCTGCACACCGAAGTGGACAGACGTTTCTCACCCCTGTCCTCCACTCCCCCTGCTCTGTTTTGTTTTGTTTTCGAGACAAGGTCTGACTGTGAATCCCTGGCTGGCCGGGAACTCCAAAGGTTGGCCTGCCTCTGCCTTATGAGAACTGGGATTAAAATCCCTGTCTTTTCTTCTTCAATGGGTCTTTTGAGCCCTGAACTGTGGTAAGCGAGGTGCAGAAGTTCAAGGTCAGCCTCTGCTACTTGGCGATTTCGATGCCAGCCTGCTACACGAGACCCTTTCTCAAAACAAAACCAAGCTCCTCGGTGCCTCCTGGAAGGGGTCCCGCACGTTTCTAAAGAGTTGGGGGAGGGGGCTAGGGACAAGTTCGCGACCGGGGCTGGATCCCGGCCTCGGCCTCTCCGCCCTTCAAACACCTGGCGGTCACCATTGGGCCGCCCAAGACGTCAGAGAATGCTGATTGGATGTGGAGTCCGTCGCTCGAGGGCGGCCGTCAATAAGACCTTCCTGTCTCCTCAGAGCCCCGCCCCCAGCGGCTCACCATGCCCCGCCCCTCCCGGGCCGCGCTGGCCAGTGGGGCCCCGCGGCTGCCTGCTGGCCCCGCCTTCTGACGTCACGGCTCGTTTGCATAGACAGTGCCGCCCCTGGCTTTGCAGGACGTCAGCGAAGACTGCAGGGGCCTGAGCCTCCGCCGCCGCCTGCAGCCCCGCCGCCGCTCCTGGGGCCCGGTCGCCGGAGCAGTCGCCAGGGTCGCCGCCGTCAGCGTCGTCTCAGCTCGGAGCGGGCAAGGTGAGCGCTGCCCGGGGCCACACACCGCGGGCCCGCGTTTGATTGACAGCTGGGAAGAAGGGGGGCGCGCGGCTCGGGCGTGGTGGCTCTGGGTCTCCGTTCGGCATCCCGCACCCCGCAGTCTTCACCCTTTGCCCGGCACTGGGTCCCGGGCTCTGCGACAGAGGGGGAGGGGAAGGCCAGGCCTTGCGGGAGGCTGATGCGTGCGCGTGCTCGTGGGGTGAACACGCGTGTGCGCGCTCGCTGGTCATGGATAGGCTCGCGTGACCTCAGGACGCGCACCGTGCACGGTTGTGGAACCTTGTGCATGCATGGTGCGCGTGCGTGGTGTGCGTGGGTCCGAGTTCAAGTATGCGCTGACACGCGTGTGGAGCCATGCGCGTGTGCGGTATGTCCTCGTCAATGGCCAGGTGCACACGCATACACTGGCTGATGTAGGGGAGTCTGCGTGTGCAATCGTGCATGGGTGCAGGGAGCCGTGCACATGCATGGGCTTGCAAACGTCATGTGTTTGCTTTTTTCTCCTGCTAGCCCCACTCTTTCGCACGCAGGGCAGGAGTTTGGGTCAGCCTGCCTTGGATGCTTCATTGTGTGTGCATGCGCGCGAGCGATTTGTGCATGTCAGCCTGTGTTCACCCCGTCTCTGTCACGTGATACGGCTACCTCAGGGTCCCAGTTCTTCCAGGAGAGGAATAAGGATGAGGGAGGACTGGGGCTCCTCAGGTACTCATGCTGTGGTGCTCCCGCGTGAGTCTCTTTAGGGTAATGAAAGACTGATGGGAAGGTGGGGCCCGCCTCAGTGTCCTCTCAGGGTGCAGGGAGATTTGGGGTGCCAGGGACCTGCAGAGGTGTTCCCTTCACAGCCTCCTTGGAGTGTTGGGCCTGCCAAGGTCACAGCCCGGCCTGTGCTGTGGGGCCCATGTGACACTGGGGGTCCTGGTGGAAAGAGAGTGTCTGGCACCCTTGTGCATGCCCATCCCGTGCCGTGTCCTGCTGCACCCCTCAGGCCCTCTGCGCCCCGCCCTGCAGATGGCATCGGCCACAGACTCGCGCTATGGGCAGAAGGAGTCCTCCGACCAGAACTTCGACTATATGTTCAAGATCCTGATCATCGGGAACAGCAGCGTGGGTAAAACCTCCTTCCTCTTCCGCTACGCGGAAGACTCCTTCACGCCGGCCTTCGTCAGCACGGTCGGCATAGACTTCAAGGTCAAGACAATCTACCGCAACGACAAGAGGATCAAACTGCAGATCTGGGTGCGTGGGGCCAGGGTGGAAGTGCCCCGCCTGCAGCTGGCGGGCTCACACACCTGGGTGTTCTCAAGTCCTGCTCTGTGGTCCGGTGAGAGCAGGCAGCTGGGTAGTCGAGGATGCCCGAGAACTCCAGATCCTCCTGCTGCCACCTCCCCAGTGCCAGGAGGACGGGGCTTCACATCAAGGTTTAATTTTTTGACGTTTTTGACTATTTTGTTTCTTTGAGACAAGGTCTCTGTATCCCTGGAACTCACTCTGTAGACCAGGCTGGCCTCGAACTCAGAGATCCACCTGCCTCTGCCTCCCGGGTGCTGGGATCAAAGGCGTGCGCTGCCACTACCTGGCATGAGTGTTTTTTAACAGTGCCGTGAGTCCCCATTTCTGGCATAGGGTGTGGCACAGGGCATTGGGCAGCACCTGGCATGTTTGCTGAATGAATGAGAGATTTTACAGCGGCCCATCTGGGCACAAAGGCCACCCGCCCACTCTTCTCACCCACTGTCCCTGGACCTCAGAGGGGCTGCCGTGAGGTCCCTTCTGATCACCATCTCTTCTTTCCTCAGGACACAGCAGGGCAAGAGCGGTACCGCACCATCACCACAGCCTATTACCGGGGCGCCATGGGTTTCATCCTAATGTATGACATCACCAACGAGGAATCCTTCAATGCGGTGCAGGACTGGTGAGCAGCTCACTCAGAAAATCAAAGGATCTCAGATAGAACAGTGGAATAGGAGGTAGCTAGAGCAGTGGCTCAGTGGGTAGGGTGCTTGTGGCTCAGTGGGTAGGGTGCTTGTAGCTCAGTTGGTAGAGTACTCCTAGCTCAGTTGAGAGTGCCTGCCTGGCTTGGAGAAAGCCTTGAGTTCCATCCCCAGCACGTCTGAAAACAAAGAACAGGAGTCGGGTGGGACAAACCACAAGGGCTGTTCCCAAGGCTTGGGGTTGTGGAAGGAACACGGGGTGACCAATAAGCCAGACAAGGGCTCCCACTGATCTGTAGTATTTAAATGTTCTGTTCACCAGGGACGGGTAGGTGGGGTCTGTGGTCCCAGCTACTTGGGAAGCAGAGGCAGGAGCACTGAGCTCACTTGCCCCTGGCTGAGCACTTGGCTAGCATGTGTGAGAACCTGGATTCCAGTTGTCACGTCTCTGCATTTGAAGTAGAGCAGCAGGCATCATCCCAGCATGTGGGAGGCCGAGGCAGGGGGATGGAGAGGTCCAGGACAACCTGAGCTCAGGAGGAAAGCCTACCTCAGTCACCACGGGGCAAGGGACTTAGGGCAGGGCAGGCTCCTCTGGCTTCCCCTCAGCCCCCGGCTGCCCCCGCAGGTCGACTCAGATTAAAACGTACTCCTGGGACAACGCCCAGGTACTGCTGGTGGGGAACAAGTGTGACATGGAGGACGAGCGGGTGGTGTCGTCGGAACGTGGTCGGCAGCTCGCCGACCACCTGGGTGAGTACCCACAGGACTGCAGCCCTCAGGCTGGACTGGGACCCTGACCCCGACACCCACACACCCTGGAGATCGGGGCATGAGCGTGAACCCAGGTGGTTCACACTTGTGAAAACTAGCCACTCACTCCCCAGGAGGCTTTGGCAGTGGTTCTGATGGGCTGGTACTGGTGGGCCTCAGAAGAGTCTAAGTTTTTGGACTGGAAAGCGAAACCTGGGCAGAGGAGTGCATGCTGGAAGCCTCGCCACGCTTCCCGAGCAGGCACAGCATGCGGGTGTGGAAGGATGGTGTAGGCAGAGCAAAGTGCTCTAGGTGCAGACTAAGGGACAGCCAGCCTGTGCAGCTGTGACAGTGGCACCCGACTGCCCCCTAGAGGAAATGTGCCCCAGCTACCAAGGAACAGGGTCGTGGATGCTGAGGGAGACAGGTCTGAGGGCTGGAGGCCTCTGGGATGGGACTGTAGAGCCCAGCTGGGCGGCAGGTGGAAGGGAGGGGTGTCTGCAGGGTGGCCCATCTTCTCCAGAGGGCAGGGTCACAGCAGACTCACCCTCACACGGCCGCCCTTGGGCTTTGCTGTCACTTCTACATTCTCCCAATGCAGGGTTTGAGTTCTTTGAGGCTAGCGCCAAGGACAACATTAATGTCAAGCAGACCTTTGAACGTCTGGTGGATGTGATCTGTGAGAAGATGTCGGAGTCGCTGGATACTGCTGACCCCGCGGTCACAGGCGCCAAGCAGGGCCCGCAGCTCACCGACCAACAGGCACCTCCTCACCAGGATTGTGCCTGCTGAGCACCCCCACACCAGGGGCAAGTCCCCCATCCCATCACCCTATTTATTATCGTAGCTATTTATTTATTTATTGAGGATGCTCCCTGGGCGCGTCCCCACCCCCGCTCTGCTGTGGTGTGCTGTATAGCCCCTGCTCCCCACCCCTTAAGACACCCCCCTTTTTGGTTTCGTAAGCCACCCATCCACAGTTGTCGGTCATGAAGAGGGACCAGATATCACTGCAAAGCAGGCTGGTAGGCTCATGGGAGATGACGGGGCCTGCCAGCTCCGAGGCGGGGGGACTGCCATGTGGACCACTGGGTCGACAGGCTGGCATCCTGCTGGCCTGGGCCTTCTGCCCCGGGCTCCTTTATCTTTGGGATGGATAGGATGCGGGGAATATGTTCACTCTCACTCCTTGGGAAATCCCCAACTTGTTCTGACGTCATGAGTGTCCCCCACTCCCCTAGAAGTTATCAACACTACACACCGTTCAATAAAGCGAATGGACCTTGCTGAGTCTCTGCCGGCCCCGCCCCCACCCCACCCCACCCCACCCCTGGCAGTCAGCCTTGTGATTAAAGAGGATTTAATGACATTTCCACACGGCTGCCCAACCTCGCATGAAGTTTTTTGAGGCCAAACCAGACCCCATTCCAAGGCCGTAGGGCACATCTCTGCCTCTGTCACCTGGGGTCCAGGGAACCTCAGGGGACTGCTTGGGCCGCAATCGAGCCAGAGTCACAACTGCAGGCTGACGGGACTGCTTGGTCCGACTGAAAAACCTGGCGACTGACAGCCGGTGCTGGAGGCTGTTCCACGTGGGAACTGTCCACGTGGACTCCGAGGGGCGGCTGGTCCAGGTCAGTCAGCCTGGGCTTTGGACAGGCCCAGAGCTCTGGCCTGCCCCGGAACCTCCTAGGGGAGTGCGGCCATCCACCTACTCATCCACAGCGCTTCCAGCCTTCCAGCTCAGTCCGCTGCGCAGCCTGGAGTCGGAAGGGGTTCAGGGTCCTGTGTGCGGCAGGGGGCGGGTCACAGGTCATGGGTCACGGGTCACGGCGGGCACAGGGCGGAGCCCACCGCCCAGCCCTCCCGCCCAGGGGCTGAGCTCACCCAGTACTTCAGGTAGGAGAGATAGGTGTCCCAGCCCAGCGTCAGCCCGTTGATGTAGGTGACTCGGAAATGTGACGGGACGAACAGGAAGTTCACCAGCTGAGCAGCTGGCCAGACGCACCAGTCAGCCTGCGAAGGCAGGGCCCGTGAGAGCGGGCGGCGGGGAGGGCAGGGCTGGGGGGCCAAAGCCCTGGTGGTCTGGAAGGGAGAACTGGGGGGGCTCACCTTGTAGAAGTCCCAGAACTTGCTCCGCAGCTCCTGGCAGCTCTCCTCCAGCGTCTGGCCCTCCAGGCTGCCAAGGCCTGGGAAGACGACCAAGAGGTGAATGAATGTAAGGGCCGAGGCGGCTGCCGGGCAGCGACCCGGGCCAGGGCGGGTCAGGGGAAGAGTGTGACCGAGTTACGTGTGCTCCAGGAGGTCAGGGCCACTCTTCCCAGAGCCCCGGGGACCATCTCACACATCCCGCAGTCCTCGCCCCCCCAGGTACCCCTTCGCGCCTCCGCAACTCTACACCCAACTCCCCCACAGCCCCTCAGACGCTGTCCTTGCCACTCCAGCTCCGCAGCGGTTCCCCGGCCTCCTTACCCTGCAGAGGGTCTGTCCCACCCCCACGGGACCCTGTCCTGTCCCAGGGACACTCCCCAAGAGGTACACAAAAAATGCACACGGGCCGGGCAGTGGTGGCGCACACCTTTAATCCCAGCACTCGGGAGGCAGAGGCAGGCGGATCTCTGTGAGTTCGAGGCCAGCCTGGGCTACAGAATGAGTTCCAGGAAAGGCGCAAAGCTACACAGAGAAACCCTGTCTCGAAAAACCAAAAAAAAAAAAAAAAAAAAAAAAAAAAAAAAAAAAAAAAAATGCACACGGTTTGTGATGTCAGCCCTTGGGAGGCGGAGGACGATGGTCAAGTCTGAGGCCAGCCAGGGCGACACCGGGAAGGGCTCCCCGTGTAACAGCTCCCTTTAACTGTCACCCTGACTCGGCCTGGACTCAGACGAGCCGCTCGGGGACCATCTAAGGGGCGGCCTGTGGATGTCTGTCTAGACCTAACTAAGTTAACTGATGTGGGAAACCGAGGCGGGGGATCCTGGACTGGAGGAGCGGTGACGCTGAGCAGGCCTCCCTCACTCTGGCTGTGCCAAGTTCTTGCCCTGACCTCCCCACGGCTGTAGCTGAACTCTTCTGCCCCAGGCTCCTTCTGGTCAGGGTGTTTTAAAAAGCTGGGTGAGGTGACTTAGGCCTTTAATCCCAGCCAGCACTTGAGAGGCAGAGGCAGGTGCATCTCTGTGAGTTCGAGGTCAGCCTGGGCTACAGAGTGAGTTCCAGGACAGCCAGGGCGACACAGAGAAACCCTGTCTCGGAAAACTAAAGTAAATAAATAAACAGACGAAACAGAACGTTAAGAGACGCCCCGTCAGCCTTCCTCCGAGCCCCAGGCAGTCTACCCACCGCGAGCTCTGCGGGCCACCGGGCTTCTTACCCAGGAAGTACCAGACGCCCAGAATGGGAGACGCCACCACCTGATCCACCAGGACCTTCTTCATCACGCTCGGGAGGCTGCGCAGGCCGGCGGCGGGGACGAGGCGGTCCAGCCACAGGTACCAGAAGTGCAGGAAGGGGCCCATGCTGCAGCCCACCGCGAACATGCTGGCTGGGGGCGGAGAGAGTCAGCGCACGCCGGCCGGCTGGGCGGCGGGTCCGCGGGGCGGGCGGCGGGTCCCCGGGGCGGGCGGCGGGTCCGCGGGGCGGGCGGCGGGTCCGCGGGGCGGGCGGCGGGTCCCCGGGGCGGGCGGCGGGTCCCCGGGGCGGGCGGCGGGTCCCCGGGTCCCCGGGGCGGGCGGCGGGTCCCCGGGTCCCCGGCGGACCGGCCCCGCTCACCTGAGCGCCGCGCGCTGAAGCTCTGTCCCGGCCGCGCGCGCACCTCCCAGGCCTGCCGCGCGCCGTCGCCCGCGGCCATGAGCGTGCCGCAGCCCAGCGTGTTGGTGACGAGCAGCGCGCGGCCCCGGAACAGCGGCCGCCCGGCAGCCAGCGCCTTCCGAGCCCAGCGCCAGCCGCCGGAAGCCATGGCCGCGGCCCCGCCGAGCCCCGGCCGCCGACGCTCGGGAGCCTCCGCCGCTGGCTCCCGGCCACGCCCTCGGCGCGGGCCAATCATAGGCCTCGGCGCCCGCCCTGCGCGGCGCGGACCAATCGGAAACCAGAAGCCCCGCCTCTCGGGGGCATCAACCAATCGACAGAGAGCGCTGCGCTACGTCACCACGAACACGGAAGCCCTCGGCTTTACCGGTTCTCAGCGGACCAATAGACCGCAGCGTCCCGCCCCCCGAGCCGAACTGACCAATCGTGTGTCTTGCGCCTCCGGCCGCGCAGCTCGCTCCTTATCCACAAAGCCTCCCGGGACGGGGCGGGGCGAGGAGTGTCTGCACAGCTGCGAGCCTGACCTTGGCGCGCCCTCCCCCGTGTGCCGGCCCAGTACATGGACACCGCTCTGACAGCCGGTCCGAGCTGTTGGAGGCCGGTTTTCATGTAGCCCAGGCTGGCCATGAACTACGCCTGCCCCGATCGCCGGGCCACTTGCCTGGGTTGGAAGACTGCCCAGTTCACTAGGCAGTTCATGTATTCTCTGCACAGCAACTTTGTGTCGCTTCAGAAACAAAATCCTGACCTCCTTTATTCTTTGCTTTTAACCGCTCCACAGTCGTACTGTTCTCAGATGCTCAGGCTGGGATTCCAGCTCCCGATTATCCCGCCCGCCTGTACACAGTCGCCTTTCCTGGAACAGTGAACACACACACCCATGGGTTGAGAACCACTCGGCTGCACTGATATTTGAGGTGAAATGATCCCGAGTGTGGGTGGCATCATCCTGCTGGAGTTCTGTAAGAATTAGAAAGGGAGCCAGGCGGTGGTGGCACACACTTTTAATCCCAGCACTCGGGAGGCAGAGCCAGGCGGATCTCTGTGAGTTCGAGGCCAGCCTGGGCTACAGAACTAGTTCCAGGAAAGGCTCAAAGCTACACACATAAACCCTGTCTTGAAACAAAACAACAACAAAAAACAAACTATAACTCCAGGAAAAATGAATCACAGCAATCTAAATTATTTATTCAATGAATTTCAATTTAGCACCATTTGAAAACAAGGCAAGAGTCTTGAGTTTTGAGTCTGTTTTGTGAGACGTGTGCGTTCTCTCGTTGGTGGGTGGCATCTCTTGAGGGCTCTGCATCTGAAAAAGCTGAGAGCTGGCTCTTGTTTTTCCTGTGACAATGACCGTCACTTGTAGCAAACCTCCCTGGGAGGGTCGGCCATGGAGGGGCAGATGTCTGGCTTCTCCAGTCCCTGGAGGGGATGAAAGGCTAGGAGTCGGGACCCTTTGGGGAGACTGCAACCCCCCGGCTGAACCCCACAGATTTATACTAAGCTCACCTGGTACAACAGACAGACAGTGCTCAGGAGCTGGCTGGGGTCCTTCAGAGGTTTCTGTAAGCCACAGAAGATACAGTTAAGCACAGCTGGGGAGGATGCATGAGCCTGGGAACTCAGCACTCGAGTGCTGAGGCAGGAGGATTACTGTTTCAGGACAGTCTCAGCTGTGCTGAACTAGGAAAGGTAGTGATTGGTCACTGGTATCAGGGTATAAAAACCTTGTGTGTGGGCAGAGGCTAGAGCTCAATTGGGGTGTCTTTTTCTTTTTTGGAGTCTTTTTTTAATTAAACCATTATCTTCAGATTTATTTATCATCTTATTTCACGTGTAGGGAGGGATGTTTTGCCTGGAGGTGTCTGTGCAGTACTGATGGAGGCCACAAGAGGGCGCTAGATCCCCCGGAACTGGAGTTACAGAAGTGAGCCTTATGGTGCTGGGAATAAAACCAGCGTCCTCTCCAAGAGCAGCCCCTGCTCTTAACCACTGGGCTGTCTCTCCAGTCCCTCATGTGGTATCTTCCAGTCACTTTCCATCTTGATTTAAAAAAAAACATTTTTAATTGAGGAAGTCTGTATGTGAGTGCAGAAGCTGCTTGATGAACGTGCTGGGAACTGAACTTGGTTCCTCTGGAAGAGCAGCACTCCACGGGGAGCCCCACGCATCCCCTGTGCTGGGATTACACCACCTGCAGCCTGGGGATTTGAACTCAGAGCCTTGAGCTTGTGGGACACTTTACTGAGACTCTTACCTCATTGACCAGGACCCAGGGCACGTACTCATGGGGTGGCTGCAGGGCCTCTGTGAGCTGGGCATTGGCATGCATGAGCTGCGTGCCCCGCTCCCCGGTGGCACACTCCATGATGCTGTCTGGTGACACCTCCGGAGCGTACACCTGCAGGCACTGTGAGGGGGGAGGCTTTGCTCAGTTCCCCTGTTGCTGCGGGCCGCAGGACTATGTCATAAGAACTCAGCTGGTTATGGCAAAGTCACTGCCTGGAGGGATCAGGGAATTCCTCCAGAGGAAGCCAAATCCCAAGGAGCTTTTGGTGTTATTTGGTTTGTTATATATCAGCTGTATTCTGTTATGAAAATCATGTGTGCCTTCATAGTTTTCCCAATTGACTTTTCCCTAAGAAGGGCTGACAGTGTGGACTGATTACTCTCTGGACATACTCATTCAAGGTATTTGGAAAACAGCCTCAGGAAAGGCTTTCTCTGGAATCAGGTATCTCCCTTGGCCACTTACAAGGACTAACAGGAGACACCGCCCAGGTGGGCGCCCAACTTTCAAGGACTAGCAGTAATAACAGTCCACATGCTAGTCTCCTAATTCAAGGTAAATTCCACAAGGAGACACCGCCTAGGTCAGGTGGACGTTTAAGTAATAGTTTTACACAATTTAGCTCGGAGCCTCCTTTCTTACAGCCTTACTAACTTTAGAGACCTTTAACTCCTTACCTAACCACTTCTAGGAATATTTAGATAACCCTCTGCACTGACAGCTATGCTCAGCCCGAACCCCAGTTCAAATCTCCCTGTAATTATCGTCATTGGCTGCATGGCCAGGTCCATCCCCAGATGGAGGAAAGTACCTTATCAGAGATACCTCCGTACTTTCTAAGAACAGATAAGCATCCAGGCTACCAGTTTGAGAAGGCCTGGCAGATGTGCCAATTAAGCTTTACTTCCTCCTTTCCCAAACCTTACCTCTAGTTCCAGATCTCCCTTTAACTATCACCAGAGGCATCCAGCTGTACACAGGTTGCCTAGTGACTGAGCACTTTCCCCCACCCTGCAGAAAAACGGCAGATAGCTTGGACAGATAGGAGCCACAGGAAAAAAGAAGGCAGTTTTATTTTCTCACATTGACCTAGCGACTTATAGATTCTTAACATTTTCTATCAATCATGTTTAAGACTATAGTTGAGCACATGAGTCCTCTTCTTAGACACTACCCGAATTTAGCCTTTAGTTAATTCATTTCCCCATTGGTCACTTCCCTTTCGGGTTGACGGTTACTGCCTCCCTATGTGATTCTTATCACCACTCCGTTTGACCCTGGAAGCCTGGCTTTGCACTGCCAAGGGAATACTTGTAAGTGTATATATACCTGGACCTCCAGGGCACGGAGGGAAGGAGAAGAGAAAAGAGAATGGAAGAACTAGACGGGTAAGAACTTGAGAGGAACAAACTGAGATGGGGGAGAACTAGATTGAAGGGCTAGAAGAGAGGACTAGAGGAACGAGATGGAAGATGAGGAAGAGCCAGATGGGGAAGTACTAGCTGGGTAAGAACAAGATGAAAAGGACCTAGATGAGGCAGAATCAAGACGAGAGAATTAAGATAGAACTTAGAGGGAGCAGTAGATAAATATAGAGAGAAATCAGGCAAGAAAGGAGCTAGGCAGAGAACAGAACTGAAGCTGTGTATGAAGGATGTTATGCCAGAGGAATTAAAGCAAGTGGACTAAGAGCTCGGTGCGCTGAGATTCTGTTTCCCAAAAACAGTCCTCGCCATTAGTAGTTCTCTCTCCTGAGCCCCTGGGATGTTTACCATTAAGGCTGGTCCTGTTATCCCGCCAACAGTCCTAGCGGCCCCAGACAAGCAGTTTCCCCACCGCCCAGAGACGGTTGCACAGGCACTCGCGGTGGCCTGGGTGGGTTCCCGAAGCTGTTCCCTCCGCTGGAGACACCCTACCCACTCCTTCCCACCAACCGCACTGCTCGAAGCTCCAGGAGGCCGGGAAGCTTGGGCCCGTTTGGCCTGAAACACCTCTTTATTTCCCACAATGCCCTGGGAAGTAGGCGCTCATGGCTTCGGCTTCTCTGTTCTTGTTATCTGTGACTGCGTGGGGGAGGTCCCAGGTTCGGTTCACAGACCTAAGCTTGGTCTATTCAGAGATGGGAGCTCCCAGGGCCGGGGTGTGTGTGTACCTGGGGTAGAGGCCCCGCGGCTCGCCTCCCCCCACCCACCCCCTACCCCGGCTCGCCCCTTCCCCCCTGCCCTGCAGCACACCGCCCCCTCCACAGCTCACCGGCCCGAGTTTCTTCTCCATGTCCTCCATCTCCTCCACACAGACGATGGTCAGCAGGGCCGCTGCCTTTTCCAGCTTATCCAGCAGGCAGGCCTGCAGAGGTAGGCCAGGGTGGTCGGGGCAATGTGGCCCCCCGCCCCCCGTTCCCTCCGCGGCCTCACGGAGCGGCAGCTCACCTCCACCTTGTTCAGTCTGCACTCCAGCTCCCCGTGCTGACACGTGAACTCCCACGTGCCGCTGACATTTCTTTCCTGCAAGGCACCGACGGATCTCCGTGAGCTCAGACGTCTCCGCCCCGCGGCACCCCTCCTGCCTCAGTTTCCCCGCTTCCCGCGCACCTGCGCGTTCCCGTAGGGCACCAGGGTGACGTTCATGATTTCCATAACCATCAACCAGGTCGGGAACAGATCTCGGACCAGGAAGTAGCGACAAGCCCCGCACAAGGACTCATAATAGAGGCTGACATTGACTGGCGGTGCGGGGGGCGACGGGCGTGGCCCGAGCAGGCACAGATCGTGGGCCTGGGGGGGGGGGGGGAGAGGCCTCTGGTGAGGTGCAGCCCCCGGGCCCCGTCGCCCCCGCTGAGCCGCTTATGGTTTGTTCAGTCTCGTGGCACTGGACGAGACCAGGGCTGTCTTTGCGAA